AGGCTCACCGGAGTGCAGTAACTTGAGCTAACTGATGCAGCGAAGATAAGCCCTTAGTGTAGCTCAGATTTCCTGTGTGATGTGGTGATGTGCATAGAGAGCAATGGACGGCCCTCTGCTGACCGGTCTGATGACAGTATTCATTCATACAGGAACGGCCCGTTGAGCTGCACTCCCCAGAAACCAGAGCAAGTCACTGTGGTGTTTGGAGAATGGAACGATAACGAAGCCAGGGGTTCTGGTAGCAGCAAATCTCCCAGGGCTCTGTCTGTCTTCACCAAAAAGTCAATCTGCGGGTGTGCAGCGTAGCACCGCTAGGAGAGCACATCGGTACATAGGGTTTGTATCGAGGCAGCTGCATCAGCCCTACACTCACCCACTAGCCGGGGCTTAGTTACCACCTGCTTCCTACTCTCACCGCCCGGCTGCCGTGCAGTAGGGCCCAGCTTAGATTCTGGGACAAGGCACCAGCCTTCGTGCTGAGCCGAGTGAAATCCCATCGCAGGACACTCCCACGCAGCTTGCGTGGTTTCACCTCTGTGCTCCTTACACCAGAATAGCATTGCACGTATCATTTCTGGGGATCCCAAAGCACTTCGCTAGTTATGGGCCCCATCCTGCAGCCATCAGACAAGGAAACCTCTAGATTTCAGTGGGCTTGTAGGATGGGAGCCTGGAATACATATAATTTAATCACCTAGCTCTTATCAGTAGATTGCAAAGTGCTTTACAAAGGAGGTCAGTATCATTACCCCCATTTTACAAATGGTGACACTGAGGCATAGGGAGGCAAAGTGACTTGCCTAAGGTCACCCAGCAATCAGTGGCAGAGCCAGGAATAGCACCTAAGTCTCCTGAGTCCCTGGTCCAGTGCTTTATCCACTAGGCAACACTGCTGCTCATATAGCCTGGGAGCACTAAAGTGCAGCCACCTCTGCAGGGGAAAATGGGCGGGGAGCTGTGTGAAAGGGCAGCAGTTCTGGTTCATCAGGCTGAGTTCCTCAATCCCTTGGACTTCACTTCGCCCTCCAGGTTTAACTGACATGAACCTCAGCCAAACCCATCGAGCACCAAGGTGTCAGGTGGGAGATGATTCACCTCACTGAGGCTAGAGCTTTGACAAAGGCCCATCTGAGAGGCTGGTGAACCTGCTCTGGAGTTTGTATCAATGCCTACACCAGAGCCTTCTGCGTCTCCTTAATGGCACATAGCCCTCTGGGGGCTGGCTGTGGAAACCCATCCTCCTCCTAATCATGGCAGACCCCAAAGGGGCATGATCAAGCGCCACCTGGATAGATCTCTAGCTACAACTTTTGTGAAAGGGCCAGTCCTGCATCCTGCATGTTGACAGCAAACATAAAATTGGTGCCATGGAAACCCCAACTTCTCTAAAAAGTAGCAGGGGATCTTTCATGTTCAGGCCAATCAGATAAAGGGAACCCAGTTTTTAAGGTCTCCTGTGAAAGGCCCACACACATCTGGTACTTAGTTTACAGGGCCCCGGAAGACTGAGCTGATCCTAGTGAGATTATAGCAGGGAGTTAGTCCAACTTGATGCCTGAGATCACTAGTTCACAATGCGTCAGTTACCAACCTACTTACCCTGTGTAGCCCTATTCAAGTCCATGGGTTAGCACGGGGGGTGAGTCCAGTGCTCTCTATTATTTCTATCCATTTGTGATTCTATTACAGTTATTCTGTAAAATCACTATGGGTTTAAACACGAAAAACTAGGGCCCTAATTCCCTACTGCAGTACCCCAGTTTTACACCAGTCAAATCCACCACTGATCAACGGACTTACACTACAGTGAAGAATCAGACTCATGATCTCGACTGCCATAATGTTCGTGTTGTGCAGTATCAGAGGGGTAGCCGTGTTAGTCTGAATCTATAAAAAGCAACAGAGGGTCGTGTGCACCTTTTAAGACTAACTAAGAATTTCCATTACTTGCATCTGAAGAAGTGAGGTTCTTACCCACGAAAGCTTATGCTCCCAATACTTCTGTTAGTCTTAAAAGGTGCCACAGGATCCTGTGTTGTGCAGTGTTCCTCAAAGACTCTAGACCTGAAATAGGATGATACAAATCCAGGACCGTTATTCAGGAGAACACAGAACGATTGCACAAAACCAAAACCATGCGACCCTTCCTTTCAAGGGCTGGAGCTAGCAACAGGCCAAGCAAAACTAAGATTGGGTAACAAACAGGAATGCTCCATCCTAGGGGAGAAGTCTCCCATCGCTAATGGGTTTCATTCCCAGTGAGGATGGGGCATGTGCTTATTTGTAAGCAGCCTCTATTTCTGTGCTACCCCCGGAACAAATGTAAAGATAAGAAGAAAACTAAGCCACTTACTTAAGGGGTTGTTAAATCCGTTTTCAGGGCCTTCTCGGCTACACTCCAAGTGCAGGGGGAGGAGGGGAGTGGGAATCCAGCTTAGAAAGTGCCGGTGCAAGAAGTTAAAACAGTTCCAAATAGCGTTTATTTTCAGCAACTTCCTTTCTGTGTGCCAAGGGGTCCTGTGTTGGTAGATGTTTTGTGATGGGAGGGAAAAGTCTCAGCCTTGCATCAGGGTGGGGCTTGTACAGGCAGCAAACGGCCAGTTACTTTCTGTCTGTTTCAAAGAAAACATTGTGCCTTTAAAAGAAAAAAAAAAGGCACAAAAACTAGTTAGTGGAAAAAATGCATAATCCGCCCCCAAACCAGAGTGAGATGGCAGGGCAGCGGCAGGCTGTGGAGGGAAGTGTGGCGTGCAGCTGTCTGGGGCGTGTCTGGAGCTCTCTTCATCACTGCCCCCAAGGAGACTGCTTGCCTGGAGCCCTGGGAAAGATCTGCTCGAGGATGCTCTAACTGGGGTTCCCTGGCATAGTAAGGAGAATGCCAGAGCCAGGCACCTCTGGAGAGAAGAGTTATAGCCTCACACAGTCCATTACAACTGGCTGCCTGAGTCTGAAAGGTGGATGCAAGGGGGCTGCAGGTCAGGACTGAGATGCATCGGAGGAGCTGTCTGTGGGCACCCCCAGAGTGGAATAGCAGGGGGTGCTGCAGCCAGGAGATGTGCACTGGCAGGGCTGGGGGGGGGTCTCCCCTAGGAGTGTAATAACAGGGGTGCTGCAGGTCAAGAGCAAATTCCTACAACCCCCCTGAGTAAGCCCCATTGACTTCGGTGGAGCACGGGGAGGGCTCTTTGTGCAGGGGGCTGTCTCTGCTCTCGCTGCTTGGCCACTCCAAACTGGATTGGAAATGGAGAGGTGTTTGGTTTAGGCTGAATTAGAAGCAGAGGCCAGTAGACCCGAGCCTCCCCCAGCGTTGGGGATTGCTAGATCCTGTTCCACACCCCAGCAGCGTGGCAACCTGGACACTGTGTCATTTGGATGCAGCCGTGCAGCTTGGCCTGTTCTAATGCAAAGGGACAGTCGGGGACATGAATGGGGACTAACTCTCTTAGCGGCAGTGAAGTGCCTGTGGCCGAGAGCTCTTTTGGAAGCCAGTGGGTGGGGAAATAGTGGCTCTTTGGCTGCGAGTCCAGGCACCGTCTCTCCTACCCAGGCAGAGCGGGGTGTGGCCAGAGGCTGGGGCAGCACATTCATTCCTGACTCTGCTTTTCCGCTTTCCACTTCCTTTCCAGAGCCATGCAATGAAGGCAGAGAAGGAGGCTGGGCCATCTCCCTTCCTCCTCCTCCTCTTCTCCTCCCTCCCTCCTGCCACAGCTGGCCGGCTCTCTGCTCCTGCTTGCCTACTGCAGCCCTCTTTCCCTTCATGCTTCATGGATGCTGTGCCCCTGGAACAAAACCCAGGCCCCCAGAGGACGGGTTAGCAGAGAGAAACTCACAGCAACGCCCGTGTTGATTTCTGCACAGCCTCTAGCCCCTGGAATGGAACGAAACTCTTCCCCGGCCCCGTGTTATTGCCGGGGAGAGGCCTGCATGGGCATCCTCCATTTCAGGGCATCTGGAATGGATGTGGGGTTCCTGCTACAGAAACCACCCTGTGGGAAACCTGGAGCTGGGTTTGGGTTTGACTCTGCCCCTCCCCAGAGTTCAGGAGAGTTCGGATCTGGACTTCTGGTGTGGGCCTGTCTCTGCTTATTACTGGTTTAATCCTGGCTCTGCCGTGCTTGCTGTGTCCTCTTAGGCCAATCACGCCCCTTCCCCGTGCCTCTGTTTCCCCTCCCACACTTCGTTTACTTAGGACTTAAGCTCTTTGGGGCACAGCCCATCTCCCGTGTGGCCAGCTCTCTCAGGGATGGGATTTCAGCCGAGGCCAGCGCCCGTTTTGCAATGACCAGAGATGATCCAACCTGCTGGCCAATGTAGCCCTGCCTGGCGGAAATCTGCCTCTGATTGGCTGCACCCCCCACTTGCTCCACCTCCTGGGGCTGAGCAACCAATCGGAGCTGCTGTAGGAAGAGCTCTCTTTCCCCTGAGCGCCCCAAAGCCGTTCTCCTAGGCTGGGAGGGGAGAGATGAAGAACCCACCTGCTCAGGGCAGTTCTGCTCCATCCTCCCCTCCTGGGAGCAATGGGAGACGGTTCTTCTGCACCTGCTCCCTGCAGCACCTGGCCTGGGAGGGGGCAGAAGGGGTGAAGAGCTCCTGGAGCTGCCCCCCCCCCCCGGCTGGGAGGGAGAGAGGGGCGCATGGTGCCAGCCCCT